TTCTGCTTAGAATCTGATACTGTAACTACTTTCTGTTTAACATCTGAAATTGCTTCCACTTCATGAACAATATTTGTACAAAATAGCTTATTATGATTTAAACCATTACACAAGTCACAAGGCTGAAGTTTAATTTTACATCTGGAAGATACATGTCCTCTCTTAAAACATCTGTAACAATGTCCATGGTTTTTTAATATCACTCTTTTTTGCTCATTTGTTTTCTTACATTTTCCTACATCACGTGTATTTTTGATTACAATAGAAACAATACGGCTTAGTCACTGTAGCTAACGCGGAAGCAGTAGGAACTCTTGCCCCTTTTAAGTAATTATTTTTATTCTACTTAACACCGTAATTTGTGTCCCTTTTCTTCGAGTTTATTATTAAATTAGAAGCTTCCCGACTCTCAACTTCCAATCTAATGAATTTGAGAAGTTCTGTTAGGCTATATTGCAGTTTAGTTTCTTTCTCTATTAAACTCCAGATTCATATCGTCTGGTAAAAGCTTTAAAATAACAGGTCCTAAAAGGGTTCCCGTAAGCTTCCGGACACAATACCCAATGAATTTAAAGCTTCTTATATTGATTTCACAGGAATCGTAAAGTGTTTCTTAGTGCTTTCACATTGGACGAACTTCTAACCGGTTCAAGATTCAAGAAGTTTGTTCACGTGCGAAGATATTAACCAAATCTATTCGTCCAAATCTTTCTTTAATTAAACTTATAGAAGCATCATAATTTTCATTAGATAGTGCAAACCCAGATACTGCACTTAAAGCAGGTCCTGCGAGTAAGGATTTAAGATAGGTAAACTTCTCGACCTTTGTTAACTTATTATTATTACCAATAGCATTTTCAAAGGAATTATAAAATTCCAAAAATAAACTAGGATCACCATAATATTTAGGAATTGAAATTTTAGGTAACCGAATGTTAGTTTTGTTTTCGACCTTTACGCCAGCAGTATGACCAGGCGATTCACTTTCAATGCTCACTATCTGAGAATTTAAATTAAGTTTCTTTTTAGCCCTAAAAATACATAAACTTATTTTTTCATCATACTCTAACATAGTATTACATTCTTTCTCAATTTCAGACTCATCCCCTTTAAAACAATCCAATATTTTTTCACTTATTTCTTTCAACTCAGACTGTTTAGAAGTAAGTAAAAACACATTTTCTTCTACCATATTCTTATCCCAAATGTCTTTTTTAATTTCAGGTTCTAGTACATTTATTATTTTAGAAATAGCTTGTCTCATGACTTTTCCAGTAGATTTCAATTTAATAATATCGTCTGCCATAATAGCAACAAAAGTAATTTTATTCTCTTACCTGGTGCAGGCTTCAAATGGTATAATCCTAATTTAAACTTTTACTCTCCTGGGAACTCACTCACTTTCCTGGTGAAGCACATTCAAAAGTATTCTGAACGTTAATCCTGCCACGTTCAGTGCAAAGGAATAAATTTTCACTAACACAAAAAACATCGCATTCTAAATTTAAAAAAAATTGTTCATGCGCAACTGTTGGGCGCCAAAAATTTAAAATATAATATTAACTGTCAAGAATTTCAAGTTATCCTAGTTCAAAAAACGCTAATTCAAATCACACATAATATCAAGGTAAATGAACACTACGAATCAGATTTCTAAACTGCCAAGTTTATTCACGTCTAACACACATTCAACTGGCTCTGCCAGATCCAAGAACAAGAAGTATAACATCATGAAAGATTTACACCCTCTTTGGTGATTAAAATATATTTCCACATAAAATTTCTTACAAACTTTACATGTGTTACACTTCAGCAATGAATATGCAGACCTCTTATAATTTTAATATATAGCTAATGTAATTTCTATCATAGTTATGCTGAGGATTAGAAGTAAGACACTTGTTTCAGGTAGAAAATTAAAGGGAGTACCAAATTAAACTATAATAAATTTAATAACAGTATATATGAGATTAAAAAGTGTTTAAGGTATGCAGTGCTATCCTGCTGTAATAATTTAATTTTGTACATCTTTAATCAAATATATAATGTAACCGAAATTTTTATAACGTGAAGGCACTTCATTTTTTAAGTTAGATCATGAGTTCATGACCGATTGTTCAAGGAATATTTAGTTATGCAAAAATATCTTGCATGTAGTATAAGATATGGTTGAAAAATTCAGGGACTAGCTGTATAGAAAAAATACATATATAGCAAGCTAACTGTGATTTTTTACTGAGTTGCAACTTAATTCATGATAAGAAGCAGTTTGATTGTATTACATAATTTGGTTCTTCTTAACATGTCAATATTTAAAACCATACATTCTGTGATGCATGATGTATGGAAAATGAGCTTTTTTGAACAGCATATGAATATTAAGTTCTGCATATGTTTGAGCAAATGCCAATTGAAAACTAGAAGACTCTGATATATAATTAGTTTTCAAAGGCATTAAATTCCTGTACTTCCAGAGATGCTGTGGAGTAGTTGAACATATCCTGTTATATAAAATCATAAAATGACTTCACATATTACAAACTGCACAAGTCAGCAAACATCATATGATCTAGAAATTCATCTGCCTTCACAAAGTTGTAAATGTAATCGAATGTGGTGGACCAAAAATGGATGAAAAGTAAATAGATGCTGACATATGATTTCATGAAAACTGTCTACATCTTGCCCATTTAATTTTAAAACGAATAATTTAGGATCTATGGACTCAGTCTTCAAACTCTTACACCTACCTTCATATATATGCCATTTTAAAATATTTTTTAGGGAATAAGGGAATGACATTTTTGTTTTTATTCTTACTAAAATGTTTCAAAATGTATGTTTGAAGTGTAATACTTTTGGTCACTGTATATTCTGGTGTACAACACGCCCTTTTAATACAAAAAATTAAGATTGAAATCTGGCTGAGCATTACACACCAGATGTAAAATGATAGATTTAAAGATAAGGAAAAGATGAGCACACAAAAATTAAATTTCTGCATGTACTTAAATGCTCCTTATTAAAAAAATGACACACCTTATGAAAATTTTCATTATCAGATACAACATGAAAAGTTTGTCGTATTTGCCTTTGATTACATCTTCAAGCACATCATTGGATCCTGTTTCATCTTCACTGTCATTGTTACTCTGATCAATCAATAAATGATCATCTTCTGTTCCAGCTGTATTGTTAGATATATCACATTTTTTAAGTTACTTTTGGATTATGTTGGGTTTAATTTCATTCCATGCTTTTATTGTCCACTCATGTATTATTTCTAGACTTGGATGATGCATTTGACCGCCTTTTGTAAAAGTTTTTTCACTTTCTAACATCCACATATTCTACTGTCTTTTTAATTTTTTCTTAATGGTTTATTGATGTGCACATCTAAAGGCTGAACAAATAGTATTAATCTGCCTGGAACAACTGCCATGTCTATATTACACTCTTTCAACAATAATTTCTTATTAACCGTTAGATGGGATCTGAATATGTCCCAAACTAAAAGACTATCTGGATTCTTTAAGACAACAGAATGCTTTTGCCAGACGTATATTACCCACGGTTTACATCGTTTTCATCCATTCATCCTTTCTTGTGAACATGAATCAAAGTACCATTTGGAAAATTCCATTTTGGCATCGTCTTTCTTTTAAAAATAACCATGGGCTTTAATTTGTACCATCCACTAAGTAGGAAAGCCCTACAGTGAGATGAGATATTTCATCACATGCTATTTTATGCCAACTATTTTGTTCCTTTCACATCAATTGTTTTATTTCCTATTGTATCAAACATTACTGGAGTTTCATCCATATTTTCAGTATGTGGTAAATAACCTTTTGCCTTCTAGATCAATAACATACATATTTCTAGAAACTTATCAGTTTGTCGTCCTAATCTTTTGGAAGCCTTTGCGAAACTTTTGTTTTTTCTTGTAGAACTAAATTACACTTAAATTTTTGCATAACCTTGCCATAAATCAACTACACCAATTCAAAGTTGCTTTGCAGTTTTTAGTTTGACTTGCATTTTTCCCCCCACTTTAAAGCAAATAAATGTATGCTGTTTTTCTTGTTACAATTAACCCATTCTGGTGATTTTCTAGGATGCAGTTCACAACACATTCTTCTAGGACCGCTATTTTGTTACTCCTTTATGCAAAACACATTTATTCTTTATCATTATTAATTCTTCTAATTTGATTTTTCTTCTACTTATGACTTCTACTATTATTTCTTGTACTTCTACTTATGAACGGAGCTTTCACCAGCATCAAACATCTTTGCTGAGCACGATTTTCATTTTCTTTCACAAATTGAATGACTTTGCATTTGAAACAAGCATTGTGTTCATTTTGTTTGGCAGGAGCCATAGTTACTATTAAAACAAATACTAGGTCAACTGTATTTCAACTAAAGTAAATGCGATTTGATAAACTCTTTGATGTTCACTTCAAAATCACTGCTTCAAATGGCTACAGAAAGAGAAAACATCTGACTCATAATTCTGCAATTCATTTGGGTCAGAAAAGCATTCATATCCCAAATTATGCCCCCGCTTCTTGAAACCCTGGAATTATGTTTTTGTGAATAGCTGCACGGAATACAACTCTCCTTCTTTGCAGAATAATTTATATCCTCATGAATTTTCTATACACACACATGTTGTTCCCTTGATCACTTGTCAGTTCAATGTACCATTGTTTAAAAGTCTGGACTTCGAAAGATATGAGTATTGCACATGTGTCCTTCAGGTTCCTTCTTAACAAAAGCTTTGCACATTATACGGTGAAAATACCTCAAAATTAAAAAAATGTAGTTTGAAATTATAGGTGCACATTATATGCCAGAATATATAGTGATCTTTTTTGTAGGAATTGCAGTATTAATGTTCTTGAGAAACATATCAGAAAAAATTCTTTTTAATGCTTACTTAATATGTATTTTATTAAATTAATTGTTTATTTATATTCTTGTTTTTCTTTTTAGCTTTTCAATATTTTCAGCAGCATCATTATTTGTCTTTTATTTTGTTAACAGTTAAAGTTTATACCATATAAACTTTTAAACTATGATATATATTACCTAATATCATATTCTGATTGTTTAATACACTGAAAATAAAGAACTTATTTTTTAAATAAATTATTTTGAAATATTTGATTGAATATGTTTGTCTTATTTTGAACAAAATTTGTATATTTTATTCGAAAGATCTAGGTTCTCCAAATTTTAAACAGAGCACAAATGTCTCTGGGTTACATTTCTATATATAAGAAAGGTAAAATGTACATATATATAGATAGATAGATACAGATAAAATATAAAGAAAAGAGAAAATATACTGAATTAATATGAACAAGATATGCCAAATTTTCTAACAGGAAGGCACACATTAAAACAGTTGAATTGAAAACTTAGAAAACAAAACTTAAATAAATGTAAATTAATATAAAGATAGAACAAAATTCAAATAATATATAGTGTATGAATAAATGCAAAGCAAAAAGCATTTCAAAACCTAATCCCATTGCCTGCTGATAGCAGCAACAAATGCTCGAAATATGCAAAATAATATAAAATAAAAATCATGCTAAAAATTCATCATATATTCAGCTCAGAATAAATCACATGCAATATCAAAAAACCAGAAGCACAGTGGCAAACTACAAGAAATAGGGAGGCAAAATATGCTAAAATGAAATGTGAAATTATGTTTTTCACTACAGTGTCATCACGGGATGGATGCAATGAAAGAAGTGTTTAAAAAAACACATTGCTTCTGAACCAACAAGGATATAACTTAAAGTTTGAAATATAAAAATAGTCATAAAAGTAATCTGTACCTGTATCTGTCCAACTTTTATAGGCTGAAATAAGCAATGCAAAATTATAGCATCAGAAACATAGACAAATTCAAAAAGTTGCAAAATACGAGGGCTATCCAGAAAGTAGATTACGTTTTGGAATAAAAAAATAAACAAAGTATAGGAAACAAATTTTATTATATACAGATGAAAGCCACACTCAAATACTACTTTTCTACATAGTCACCATACAAATTAAGGCATTTATCGTAGCGATGTACGAGCTTGGAAATTCCTTCGTCGAAAAATTCGGCCGCCTGCGCCTTCAACCACTTCGTTACCTCTTCTTGCAGCTGTGCGTCGTCATCAAAACGCTGCATAGCCAGCCACTTCTTCATTGCTGGGAATAGGTGGAAGTCGCTCGGTGCCAGGTCGGGACTGTACGGCGGATGAGGAAACAACTCCCACTTAAAAGATTCAAGAACTTTACGAGTGACATTTGCCGTGTGGGGCCGGGCGTTGTCGTGAATCAACAAGATCTTAGAGCTCAACATTCCTCTGCGCTTGTTTTGAATTGCTCTTCTGAGTTTTTGGAGAGTTTGGCAATACCTTTGAGAGTTTATTGTAGTGCCTCTTTCCAGGAAGTCCACCAAAATTACACCTTTTCTGTCCCAAAAAAACAGTCGCCATCATCTTCCTTGCCGACATTGTTTGCATGCATTTCTTGGGTTTTTTGGGGAGAACTTGTGTGCCCCCACTGCATTGATTGCAATTTCGTTTCACAGTTCACATGTTTCACCCATGTTTCGTCACCAGTAACGATGCGATCGAGTAAAGAGTCACCATCCTTATGGTAAGCGTCCAAAAATTTCAACGCTGCAGCCATTCGCTGATTTTTGTGGTCCTCTGTCAAGATTTTTGGAATCCATCTTGCACAAAACTTGTGGTAACCAAGCTTTTCGCTGATGATTTCGTGCAACAAACTTCGCGAAATTTGTGGAAAACTCAAAGAAAGTTCCGTTATTGTGAAATTTCGATTTTCACAGACTTTAGCATCGACTTTTTCGAGAAGTTCGGCGGTCACTATGCTGGGTCTCCACTTCGATCTTCGTCGTGAACATTGGTTCGGCCATTTTGAAATCTTATGACCCACTGACGCACTCCACCTTCAGTGATAATGTTGTCCCCATACACTTCACGAAGCTGCCGATAGATTTCTATCGGTTTACAGTTTTTTTTGCAGTCAGAAACCTTATTACTGAGCGCAACCTCGCAGCTCGCGGGATTTTCAATTAACGCAGACATTTCAAAAAACCGTCACAGTATCTGAACGGAGCACAGCACGAACCTCTCACTAGCACGGCTAGATGCAGACTGAGCTGCGCAACGCTCTGACCCCAAGATGGCCGCGCTAGCCCCGCCCCTAGCGGACACAGACGGAAACGTAATCTACTTTCTGGATGGCCCTCGTAATAGGTAAATTTATAAAATTATTTTGACTACATTAAATCCAAAAAGTAAACATAGAAAAATAATAATACAGTCCTTGAAAATCAAACCAAATGTAAATTTTTAATCCAGTATTTGAAAAAACTACATGCAGATTTTGAAAACATACAGGCCTGGTTAAAAAAAACATAAAATATAAACAGGCAATCAGGTTTAGAAATCTAATAAAAATTTACTGTTTGAGTGGACGAAAAACATGTAAAACAGAAGTAATCCAACACACATAAAAAAGAAATTACTATTTTGATCTAAAAAATATAAAATGAAAATAGAGGAGTAAACTCTTAAAATATGTAACATAAGAGCAACAAAAGTTTTGAAATGAAAATATAAATTCACCTGTATAGAAGCAAAGCCAAAATCTGTTTAAGTAGTACATTTTAGATAAATAACAAATTTTAAATTAATTAAACTCAAAAGTAACAAAAAACATCTGTTGTAACATAAAATATGTAGTAAAAAAATAAAATAAAGAATACGAATTGATGTTTTGATCCCTAATCTAGATAATTTGATGACTTCAAGTAGGTACATATACATGTGCTATTTCAGGAAGAAGATTTATGCCTGAAAGTTTCCATTATGATGAAATGTTAAGATTGCTTTAAAAAACCTGTCTTTAAAAACTATAGCATCTTTTTTAAATCCACCATGCATTACTTTTTCTTTTTTCTTTTTTTTTTTTTTTAACTACATCAGTTTTTTATAAAGGAAACTGCTTTCTGTCTGATTTACCTAAAACAACATACTGTGGAAATATATGGAGATAGATTTTAAGAATTATAGGAATATGTACCAGACATGGCTAAACTGCGGCTCTCCGACCCCTTAACTGCAGCTGACGAGTTACTTGCGATCCTTTGCTATCTGAAATGTGACATGTTTTGAATAAATATAGTTTAATTTTTTAATACAAATAGAATTTGAAATAGAAATCCAGCGCCCATTTCTCTATTAATCGCCAATTTAATTTCTGGTATTAGGTAAATAAAAATTTGATAGATGTCAAACTGTCCAATGTTGGCAACATCACAGCAACAAGTACGTAAAATTACTATTCCGGTTATGCTACTTTTTGAACAGGTAATGGTCATTGGAAATACACTAATACGAAGTTAATCTAAAACGCTGTGCTAATATTTTTATTTAATTATTATTCTTAATATTTTTTCCTCTTAAGTTAATTTTACTTCAGGGAGTATGTGCTTACATTCCAAGTGTGATCCCATTGTTCATAACAGTTGTGATCCACCTGAAAGAATTGCTATTCGTTGTAGGGTACTACTTTTATTCAGTCTTCGTGAATAACTGCTAAAGAAACTTGTTTCGCCTTGCAATTCATATAAACCTCTTTTAATCTGTGGAAGAATTTTACGGCGGTTTTATTTTTGCAAGCAAATCAAGCATTTTTATGCAGTTGCTTCAGATTTCGCAACCATTCGCAATAATAAGCTTAAAGAATACTTTTCCCATATGAAACTCTTATCTTTCATAATTATTCCATGGTAATTCTAGGCAGAGATCAAAATTTATTTCACCAATGGCTATGCATGCTGAAATATTTGGAGTTGTGGGAAGAATCATTTGTTTGACAACGATTTAAATTTTAGTCAATATGTTTAATTGCCGTTTTATCAAATATTGTTATTCCAGATAGAGATCTTTCACCTTAATCATCAAATCTTCATATCAATAACACTGCATCAAGCAGTGAGAGATCATCAACAGAACACAAACATCTCTTATTCCCAAAGTTTCTGTCAAAATCGACATATTTATATTGGTGAAATCTCTTTAACTTGTGATGTTTTGTCACATTTTTCGATTTCTTGTTTGATGACCTTCTTTCATTCTACATCGTACTAGGTTAGAGGCATTTTGCTGCCTGACATATCTAAAATTTTGCACCCCTTAGTGCTGCCGCTTTACATTTGCACCGGCTCTGATGTCAGTATTACACTTCTTTTAATCTGCTGATATTTTTGGTCTTTCTAGTTTTCGATCATCTGACCCGGCTTTCATGAAAGCTTAGTAGCCAAACGAAAAGTTGTACAATGATCCTCTGCTTGATCACCAGAAATTTCAGGTAATAATGTGAAATTTTGCTCCCATAAAAAGTTTATTTTTAAAGTCTAATCTTTTATTTTCTAAAGTATCCTCTGCCTACAGACTCCATTTAAGATTTATTTTCTGTCAAGAGGCTAGGTAACCGAATGGAGAGTTGTACTATGTAACCGTTAGCCTGACAATAATTTATTTTAAACCTTTCTTCCGATTTTACTTAGAAATTCAATAAGAGACGGTAAATCATTTGACTGCCTTTATGGGTCCAACAGTTAGAATATGGTGGATCCGTATACCTATTTGGCAAGAGTGTACGAAATAAAATATTGTGTAGACGTCTGCCATGTTAAAAAGGCCTCCACATCGAACATGTCCTTAGAAATATGAAGAGTTCCGTGTTTATGTAATATCTGCATTAGGGAAATAAATTCGTTATAGTAGTGACAGGTATGTTTTCTTTCTCTAACAAACAGCTAGGTTGAAGTGTTCGGCTGGTGGACAGATGGAATATCTGCTCTATGAAATGCTTATACAGCCCGGCACGAACTATTAGATTTATTAGCAATAGGTTATGTATGTCCATAATTATCGTAACAATTCAGGAGATGGTTTCGAGAATTTTCAATGATGTGCATGAACTTCGTTATCCACGTCCAAAATTATCAGGACAATTCGAGAGATAGTTTCAAAACAGAGTCGTAGCTGGGGTTTTCAGTGCCCAGATTTCGCACCCCCTACTGCTTGCCATGGATGGAAAATATTTAATTCTAAAATGTTGTAACA